CAAGTAGCGGAATGCTACAGAGGTAAACAAACAATATCATTTGGAAGAGGATTAATAAGTGTTGACATTCATACAAATGAGTAATCCTGTAAACGTAAACAGAATATTTTATATAGATTTTTTTTAATGAAAACTTAAAATCCTGCATTATTTTCCGGACAACCCGATACCATTAACAATCAATCTATTTTCTTGTGTCCTATGGACAAGAACCTTGGAATTGTTCTTGAATAGATCTTGTCCTTGAAGCCCTCATGCCAACCACTCTTTTATTACCTTTTATCCTTAAAACATGACACTGAAGGTATTTAATTGTCTCTATTTAGTTTTATTTCCATTGTAGAATATTTTCATTTTGTATATAGTTTTGTAAATAGACAAATAGATTTATTATAGCCTATTTAAAAAAAAAGAACAACACACTCACTCCACTATTTATCATTTCTATTATTATAACCTCATCAGGCTTGAATCTTTTTTTTAATATGTTCATAATGGTGCTATTTTGTTCCTTTTATGGCAGTTTATTGTTTTATTTTAGGTTGGAAAAGCTGACATTCTTGTTGTAGGCATTGGCCAACCTGAATTTGTGAAAGGATCATGGATCAAAAAAGGAGCCGTTGTGATTGACTGCGGTATCAACTCAGTTTCAGGTAGGTTAGGAAATTAGTGTTATATTTCTTTTTCTATGATACTACTCATGATTTCAGATCCGACAAAAAAGTCTGGCAAAAAGTTGGTCGGGGATGTCGCATACGATGAGGCGAAAATGAAAGCGTCTTACATCACTCCCGTACCGCGAGGAGTTGGTCCGATGACTGTTGCCATGTTGATGAACAACACCGTCCTGTCTGCAGAAAGGGCCGTTGATAAACTCTGCAGCACGATCTGGTCGATCGAGTGCCTTCCATTGACGCCTAAACATCCCCAGCCCAAGTAAATAAAAACGTCATTGATTAATTTTCATTATTATTTTTTTTTTTTTTTGTAAATATTTTAGCGATATGGAAATCTCACGGTTACAAACGCCAAAGGAAGTGTCAGAATTGGCAAGGGAAATCGGCGTGTCACCTAGTGAATTTGTCTCGTACGGGCCGAATAAAGGAAAATTAAAACTTTCAGTCATTGAAAGATTAAAAAATATGGCTTCTGGAAATTATGTTGTAGTAGCAGGGTATGCATATCAGTTAACTCCATTAGTTTAAATATTTTATTTTTTATTTAATTAATTAATTTATTTTTTAAGCATGACACCTACAGTATTAGGTGAAGGTAAGAGCACTACTACCCTCGGACTCGTCCAAGCCTTGGTAGCCCATAAAAAAAGAAATGCAATTGCTTGCCTCAGACAACCGTCTCAGGGTCCAACTTTTGGAATCAAAGGTAAATCTCAATGAAATTAGAGAAACAAAGTTAAAAACTTAGAATTACTAAATAGTTAAGACTAAAAGAAAAAAAAAGTAGAACATTAAGAAGCTTTTTGATCAATTTAGAAATTAATAAATCATTCCATTGGTAAATTGGACTTTACAAAGGAAGGCTTATGATGTGGGATCACAGATTTCAATTAAATATTGTTTGATGTTACTATGCCAAAAAATATTTTGTCCAAGTATTCCAGCCAATGGAATCTAGGAGAAAAGAAAAAAATTGTTGTGTATGCATTTCAAAGGTTGTTAAATATTGATTTATTATGTAAGATAAGAAAATAATATTCAGGATAGCATGAAATGAGAATGAAAGGCTTCGAAAACCACATGAAACAAAAATGATTATTTTAAGCATCCTTTAAAGCCTTAAAATCAGATTTCTAACAGCAAACAAAAAATATAAATTTTTGTGCTGGTCATTCATCGTCAATTTTTGTCTTCTTCGATGTCGAGTGCTACTTAAAAATTCATACGGGGTGTCGGTGGCCGCAATGGTTTAGGCATTGATACGGCGCTCATCACTGTAATGTAAACGTCCCGGGTTTGAATCCAGCGGCCCTGCATTCAAACCCGACATCCTTACAAATGGGCTTTTTTTCAAAAACACTGGCACATCGAGGCTTGATATGACCTCTTCTGTTGCAAACCCTCGTAAAAAAAAAAAATTCATAACACTGCGAGATTTTATCCAAATTCAACTTTGTTACAACCTTCAGAAAGCTAAATTACACACACTTTCAGCCTGTGTAAACAAAGTTTAGATTTTATACAATTATAAATTAGAACAATAAGGACATTAGTAAAAACTTCTCAAATGTTTTATTTTATAAATCAGATCCAGATTTTTGCACGGAGGCCCAATTTGTGCCATTAAGTGTACTTTATGGAGTACTAAAGTCATGTAAAGTTTCCCACGGATTGATGAAGTAGCTTCGAACTTACGACACTATTTGTGAATTTTGAAACAAAATATTGTGTCAAATTGTAAGGTGAATAATTTCGAGTGAAAACTAATTTTTTAATTTGCCCAAAATTGTTATTCAGGTTTTTATGGGATGTGAAAAATGAATATCGACTTTGCTTCTTTCTAACAATATTGTACTTGACATTTATGGCTGGGTTCTTAGATATTGAAATATATAATTTGTGATATACGTATATTTCTTATCAATATAAGTTGATTTGTTTTTTCCAAAGTTTAAGAAAATAATACAAAGAATCGTATTAAATGAGATTAGACATGCAAAAAGGTGCAAAAACCAAAAGCCACATTGAATAAAGTAGGCCTAAAAAAATGTTGTTGAAAAAGCAATTTAAATTCATTTTAAGCACCTTTAAAGCCTTTATATATGAATGTTCATAGAAAATTTAAAAAATTGAGATTTTTTGGAAGGATCCACGGAGGAGTTTTTCTCTCTCTCATGTCTGATGTTACAGTTAAAAAATTCATAACTTCCCTGAATTTTATCAAAATTCAGCTTTATTACCACCGTTGGGAAGCTGAATGTTTCTAATTTCAGACTGTGCTGCTTCTCCTTGGTCAAGCCAGTGTTGCTGTTATCGTAGAGAAACTGCTTTTCATCACAAGTAACAATTCTTTCCGGAAAAGGTTCATTTCTGTTTTGGCGAAGATGTATTGTGCAAAATTCATAACAATGATTATTTTTTGGCGGTTGTTTAATTCACGATGAACCCAACTTTCAAGCTTTTTCACCTTTCCGATTGCCTTAAGGTGGTCTGCGATGGTCGATTTGCTAACTGAAAGATGCAATGTCGAACAGTTCTTCTTGGATTTCCATAGACCAAAACTTGCAGAACATCATCATCTACGGTAGAAATCCTTCCACGGCCTTCTTTGTCTTCAAGGCTAAAGTCTCCCTCTCAAAATTTTTTAAATCATCCTCATTCACACTGCCGGCGCCCCAGATTTCATTAATGTTTCCAGCCGTTTATGCACCATTCCGTCAGAGTTTAAACTCGTAAAATGAAATTACGCGAAAGTGATGAGTTGACATCTTATTAAACATTAATTTATTTCCAAATAACGAATGCTAATGAGGTAAACATTTTTGTTTATAAGAGGATGAAAAAGTGTTGACATTCATACAAAAGAATAATACATCAAACATAATAATTTTATTATATAGAGGGGTAATTGAAAGAAAACATAAAAACCTGCATTATTTTCTTGATAACGCAATGCATATATTCATGTTTTATCCTTGGATCGGTAGTTTCTCTAAATGAGTTTACTCGTCCCATTGTTGTTTTTCTGCCCTTCTTCATTAAGACAGTTTTATTCCTTAATGGTTTTAAATTTTCTAATTTTTGTAGAGTTTCAGGAGTTTCTGAAAATATTGACAAAATGAAGATGCGTTAGTCTTCAACCTGTTTTTTACAGGCCTATCTTGCTGAGTTTTTTAACTAATATTTCTTGCAAACTGGGTTCGCCTCGTCTTACGCAGTGGATGTTAAAATATTTTCCAGTCTTTTACAGCTATTATTCAGAATTTTCATAGGCGTTTTTTCTCCGTGGACATTGTTTAAAACTTTTTAATTACTTTTCTTTTGTATATTTATCATATTTATTGTCAATTTTTAGGTGGAGCAGCTGGTGGTGGATATTCACAGGTTATTCCCATGGATGAGTTGAACTTACATTTGACAGGAGACATTCACGCTGTAACAGCTGCAAACAACCTTTTAGCTGCTTTATTGGACGCCAGGATATTCCATGAAAAAAATTCGAGCACTTCTTTTCTGTTTAACCGATTGACAGTCGATAAAACAAAATTTTCAGATTCACAACTGAAAAGATTAGCGAAGCTCGGGATCGACAAAACCACGCCGTCTTCTTTGACAGAAAATGAACAAGAGAGGTTTTCCAGGTTGAATGTAGATCCAGAAACGATTTCGTTAGAAAGAGGTAAAATAATATTCGTCGTTCATTATCAAATGTCTGACACATGTTTGTTTCAGTCATCGATACGAATGACAGATACTTGAGGAAAATCACTATAGGGCAGTCTCCTACTGAAGAAGGACATACGAGAGAAACTTCTTTCAGTATTTCAGTCGCGAGTGAAGTTATGGCTGTTCTTGCATTAGCTACAGATTTGAAAGATTTGAAAGAAAGGCTTGGAAGGATTGTCGTCGCTTTGGATGTTAATGGTCAACCTGTCACTGCAGAAGATTTGGTCCGTCTTGACGACCATTCGATTTCCACATTGTTAATTATTACAACATTTTACAGGGTGCCACAGGCGCAATGGCTAATTTAATGAAGGAAGCGATTGAACCGACTTTAATGCAGACTATCGAGGGCACGCCTGTGTTAATCCATGCGGGACCTTTTGCAAATATCGCGCATGGGTGTTCGTCAATTATTGCAGATGCCATAGCCTTGAAACTCGTCGGAGCCAAGGGATTCACTGTTACCGAGGCAGGATTCGGCACCGATATTGGTAAAATTTTCTCTTTAGCAAATTTTTCATTTTAAAGGTTGCAATAAAAATAGTTTGGAAGTTAATAAAAGAAAACTGAAAAGCTGTAAAGGTGGTCCTTTCCACATTCGTATCCCGGTTTTTTGAAGGATTATAGCATGAAAAATGTATAGTAAAGTGGTTTCATCCATGACACCCAACAAGTTGGATCATAAGCCCTTCTTTATGACAGAATTGGTTTACTTTTGGGACAGTGGAGGCCAGTGGTTAGGGCTTCTGACTTGTATTTCTTGTATTTACTAAACTAGTGGTCGTGGGTTCAAATCCCGGCAGAGCCATTCGTTTTTTAATTGAAAATAATGTTAAAAATCTATTGTAAAGTGGCTTGAGGTTTTGTTCACAACACCCAATGGGTTGGATGTTAAGCCCTCTTGTATGACCGGAATTACTTATTCCTAAATTCTCTATTTTTTCAGGCATGGAGAAATTTTTTAACATTAAAACACGAGTCTCTGGTTTTAAGCCCAAAGTCGTCGTTTTGGTATGCACAGTAAGGGCTTTAAAAATGCACGGCGGTGGACCTGTTATTGCATCTGGAAGAAAATTAAAGGATGAATATAAAACAGTAAACACTAATATTTAATTAATTAATGAAGTCATAAGAATAAAAAATATAATTATGTTTTATAGGAAAACCTGGATCTTTTGAAGAAGGGTTTACCCAATTTGCTGAAACATATTGAAAATGGAAAGAAATACGGTGTCACTGTTGTAGTAGCTATTAATGCCTTCAGGTATTTAATTTTGGTTTTGTGGTGAATATTATTTAGTATTTTGAGTATTACTACAGCACAGATACAAATGCTGAACACGAGATGATCCGTGCGGCGAGTCTTCAAGGTGGTGCTCATTCAGCAGTTGTTTGTGATCATTGGGCTAAGGGAGGTCAAGGCGCTTTAGATTTGGCTGATGCGGTTATTAATGCGTGTGAAGCTGAGTCCAACTTTAAGTATGTGTTTCTTTAAATACATATATATTTTTTTGTAATTTTTTAACAAATGTGTGTAACGTCTTTCAGATTTCTATACCCAAATGAACTCTCTTTAGCTCAAAAGATCGAGACAATTGCAAAAGAGATGTACGGAGCTGGAAAAGTAGTTTTCAAAGAGAAAGCTTTGAATAAAATGAAACATTTGGAGAAGCTTGTAAGATTTTTATTTTCTACTCATTACAATAAAATGCAATTTAATAAAAGTTATAAAAGGGTGGTTAATTGTGGAATCTGTTATTTTTAAAGTTATGAAATTTTGGTTGTTACTAATCATGTTAGCCTATCCTCGCCAGGTTGATCTTTCAGATGCTTTTCAACATTTCACTCTTCATTGTGCCTGAGTCAAATATAAAAATCAATTTGAGATGTAGTAAATGTGAAGATTCCAAAATGAAGATTTTAGATTCACTGTTGCCAATAGATATGCAAGAACAACACCAAGCCTGCCCTAAACGTACAGGATTCCCTAAACTAAGAATATTGCTTAAGTTCATTTTTCTCTGGGCCAATATTGGGCAAGAAAAGGTTAATTATGAACTGGATTTGAAATTTTATCTCACAGACAAATGATATAAATTATACAAGATGTAGTGGCAATAAAGAGTAAAGATTCCAAGATGGAAATTTTAAATTCAATGTTGCCAATGCACAAGCATAAAAGTTGTAGGAACCACAGTTCGCCTGTCCTAAACTCAGGGAATTTCTTAACCTAACAAAATTTCTTAAGTTCGTGTTTCTCTGAGCCAGCACTTAGAGAGAAAGGGTTAATTTATTGTTACAATTTTAGTATATGTATCGCCGAAGCAAGTACAAGGGATAATTTATAAACTAGATTTGAAACATTTTATCTGCTAGAAAAAAATATACAGATTGTTTGGAGATGCAGTGGTAGTAAAGCACCAAACAGTGTTGCCAATATCTGTGCAGATAAACTACATGAAGAACTTTGGCCCTTCCTAAACTCATGAGATTTTTTGCTAACCTCTAACAAACTTTGTAAAAGTCACTCTGAAGCAACTTTGTACAAGAAAAGGTTAATTTGTAGACAGTAAAAATTTTATCTACTAAACAAATACAGCAATCGAAATTAAATGCACTGTTGATGAAGATTGAAGATTCTAAGATGCAGATTTTCAATTGGCACTGAACAGTGTTGCCAATACACTGCAGGAACCACACTGTACCTGACTTAAACACACAGGATTTCTTTTACCTAAAACTTGCTACTTGCTTAAGTTGGTGTTTCTCTGTTTTGGTCAATAAAGAGTTAATCTTTTTCTGTCTAATTAAGACTCAAAAGACCCAACACTGGACCGACCAAACAACGATAGGAAGACTTAAATGATCAGTAACGACCATTACCGGTTCATCACGATGCAGACTACACAAGGAAATCTCACAACTTTAGAAAAACATTGTCACATTAATTTGTATTCAATTTTTGACAAATTTCTAGGGGTTTGGAAAATTGCCAGTGTGCATGGCGAAAACATCAGCCTCACTTAGTGGTGATCCAGAGGTTAAAGGCTGTCCTAAAAATTTTGACCTACCCGTGTATGATCTATCTTTGTCTGCTGGAGCTGGCTTTATAGTGGCGACTGCCGGGGAGGTATTTATTATCAATTTACAAAATTGTCTTTTACCTTGATATAATTAATATCAGCTGCAATATCATAATTTTCATGATTTTGAGGAAAAATTAATATTACATTTCTATGTAATGTCAAAACGTATTTGTGTAAAAACTTAAGTTATTTATGATTAATATTTAGAAAATTCTTGCAATACTGATTCAGACAATTTTTCAGATTTCAAAAATGCCTGGGTTGCCGATTAGACCGGCAGTTGTAGACATGGACTTGGATGTCGAAACAGGAGAAATATTGGGATTGTATTAATTGCTGTATCGTTTCTTCAGATACAATGCAACAAACAAAAAATGTCAATTTTGTTAAAGGAAAGAAAATAGTATATTAAATAGGCGTTCAAGTAATTTTAAAGGAAAAACATGTCTTTTTCTGGTAGATACTATTATTGATAACAAAAATTGTTTAAGTAGTTTTATTTTGATACACAGGGCATGAAGAAAGAAATATTTGCAGTTATATTGAAAATATATGTTTTGTGTTAATAAAAGAAAAAATAATTTCCTACCATCTTGTTGCATGTTTATAAGAATCAAATTATTTTCTTTATTTTTCCTTCTCAAATTAGAAGACTTCTAATGTGTATAAACATATCTTACTAAGAACCTATTTACTACATAGAAAATGGTTGGGTACGATGAAATCCAGGTGTATCGAAATTATTTACATCAAACATAAGATCATAAGCACTGGGAACAACATTTCTCCTGCTCCCTCTGCACATTTCACATAACCTTTAACAAAATTGCTAAAGTTGGTCTTTCTCTGAACAAAAAAAAATTATCTTCCAGACAAATATAAAAATCAATACAAGATGAAGTGTGATGAAGATTGAGGATTCCAAAATAGAGATTTTAGATTCAGAGTTGCCAATTGATGCGCAGAAACACTGCAGGAATAACACAGAACCTGCCTTAAAGTCATTTTATTTCCTAACCTAATAAAATTGTGAATGTCGTTGTCTCTCTGACCCAACATTGGGCATGTAAGGGTTATATTAAATTTTAGAAACTGATTTGTAAGATTTTTTCTTCTAGACAAATATAACAAATGAAACTAGATGCATTAGTGATGAAGAATAACGATTCCAAAATGGAGATTCAAGATTCATTTTGCCAATAAACATGCAGAAACACTGAAGGAACAACACTGCACCACTCATGGAATTTACTAACCTAATTTGCTAAAGTTGGTCTTCATCTGAGCCAACATTTGACAATATAAGATTTAATTTTTATAAACTGGATTTGAAAAATTTTGTCATCTAGACAAATGTAACGCGATATTAGATGCTGTGTTGATGAAGATTGAAGATTCCAAAAGTGGAGATTTTAGATGCAGTGTTGCCAATACACAAACAAAAAAAACACGTCTGTTTCTGGGATATACTTTATTATTGATTAAAAAAATTGTTTAAGTAGTTTTATTTTGATACACAGGGCACAAAGAAAAAAAATGTGTGCAGTTAAGGGATAATGTTTGTTTTGTGTAAATAAATGAAGCAATTTCACACTAACTTGTTATATATTTACATGGTCACAATGCGCAGATCAAAAAGAGGCTACATAATCTATATACGTATAAGAAGTGAAAGGAAACTATTTAGCAGTAAAATTTTTTTATTAATTTGGAAATTTAAGATTATGGAGGTAATTAGTTGAGTAGCAGTAGAATAAAAATCATAATACAACAGGAATCTTTAATGACTTTTTTTAATAAATCAAATTAGAAGGCTTCTAATTTTGGTATTTATGTGTATATGAACATATCTTTGATCAGACTATAAAAACAATTATCCTCTTACTAAGAACCTATTAACTATATAGAAAACAATTGGGTGTATATGATGAAATCTAGGCGTATCAAAATTACTCGGATCAAATAGCAAAGTTTTTGGACTCAAATCTTACAGTTATCGTATAGTAATTTTTGGAGTCTAATGTACGGCCAAAATTCAAACATATGCTTTTTTACACACAGATACTCACTCTCTTGTATGACACTTCAAGCCTACATTGGATCAAAGTGGAAGCGAAAGTAAGAAACACTCATTTACAACTATGAACATCGACGGTTTCTGTGCATAGATTACATTTGACATAACAACACCAATGGAATTTACAGTCACATCTCTGTTTGACACTAATTTTTTGTGTGTTGTACCCTCTCCCACAGCACATTAGGTTGCAGCCGTCCATGCCGTCAGATGTTCTGTTGCAGATTCTGCCTTGTGTACCTGAAACAAAAAACACAGTCTGTACACTAGAAATTTTAAACCGATTTGGCAAATACCTAACGACCCTGCACTGGCATTAGGGACACAATAATTAGGAGACTCATCGAGGAAGATCAAATCGTTCGCCGTCGGGAGATCAAAACGGGGATCTTTTATCTGAAGTTTACCTCTCACGTTGACTTTCACTTCTGTTGCTCCATCATACTTGTCTCTGATGTAGTCACCTACAAAAATAGCCAGAATTCATAAATTTATAGTAGATTCTTATATGAGAACTGTTCTATTACCTATTTCCCTGAAAGTTGGAAGCTGCTGCCAACAGGTTATCAAACTGCAAGATCCAGAGACTCCATGACATTTACAGGTCACTTTTGCCATTTTTATGACAGCCTGAAGAGGAGTCATTTATGTGTACATTAAATTGTATACATGTAAATTTACAACAGATTTTTGTGCCATCGATTTCTCATTATCAGGGAGTGCCCACGGGCTGGGTTAGATTAGGTAGGGTTAGGTTATGGGTTAGTGATATGTTAGGTTATGGGTTAGGGGGTGAGTTACATTAGGTTGGGTTAGGGTTAAGGAAGAGTTAGACTAGGGTAGGTTAAGGCCAATCTTGTCAAACTACAAGATTCAGAGATTCTGTGACATTGCAGGTCACTTCCGCCATTCTTATGATAGCCTGTAGAGGCTATTACCATGTATGTGTGTACCGTGTATAAGGCTATTTTAGGCCATTTTACCATGTACATTTATAATACATTTTAGTTCCAATGATATCGCATTACCAGGGAGTGTCCATGGGCTGGGTTAGATTAGGTAGGGTTAGGGTTAGGTTATGAGTTAGGGATGAGTTAGGTTAGTATTAGGGACAAGTTAGGATGGCATCAGGGTTAGATTATGGGTTAGAGATGAGATAGTTAGGTTGGGTTAGGGAAGAGTTAGGCTAGGTTAGTTTTAGACCAACAAGTTTCAAACAGTAAGATCCAGATACTCAGTGACATTTGCAGGCCAGTTTTGCCATTTTTATGACAGCCTGAAGAAGTAAGTTAAAAAATCAGTTAAAATAAGAAATATATAATGTAATAAATATTTTAAATTTTTACGAATCAACTCAAATTTCCTCCTCTTTTTTATTATCGTTTATTATTTATTAGCTGTTTTATGGGCTGAGAACTTATGCTGCAGCTATATATGCTGCAGCTAGACATTTGTTGAGCTTTGAGTCCAAGAAGAATATACATTTATGTTAACATGTAAATTTACTACGCATACAGGCATCGATTTCGCATTTAGCAAAGAATATACATGGGTTGGGTTAAGTTAGGATCAGGATTACGTTATGGGTTAGGGATGTGAAAGGTTAGGTTGGGTTAGGGTTATGGAAGGCTAGGTTTGGTAAGGTTACAAGTTATGTTGTGTTAGGGTTAGGGTCAGAAATTATCTTTATATGAGTGATATCAGCCTTGTCACTTATATTCAATTACAATTGAAAATTAGTCACCAAAATCTGTTTCGACGGTCAAAACTCAAATTCTATACAAGACATTACTGCAACATACCCCTACTCGCAGAAGTTATCCAGCAATGCTTGCCTGTTTGCACATAATAAAAAAAGGGAAGAGAAATAAATATAGTGAAAACAAAAAATGGGAAACAAAGTGGAAATTACTCTAAGTCCAAAGAACAAAAAGAGAAGGGAACAACTTTAAGAGAGAAATGGGGAAAAAAATAAAGTTCTTACATTTTAAAGAGGAGAAATAAGTAGAAGAGACTTGCACTCTGGTTCAGATCGGTCGACCCAAGAAGGAAAGCTTTCCAAATTGTAGTTTTCCGATCCAGACTCTTACAAACTGCTATGAAGCAAAGTACCATCAAAAATTAAGGGGTAACATGTCAAGAGGGCAAGATTGTGAAGAAAAGGATTGGTCAAATTACTGTAAAAAATAAGTTTTTGGAGAGCTGGTCAACAGTTGTGACTGAGGTTTAGCGAAAAAGGGCTGAGTGGGGCGGGATGCGTAAAGCTTAGCGTAAATTCATGCCCAAACAATGCCTAAACATCATTGCTAAATCCTCCAATACCCAAAACATCCAAAGTCCCTTGCTGCTCCCTTCTACATCACTATCCATTCCATTTGGACATACCGAGCTACCCAAAATTCAGGGCTCGCAACTCCTCACATAACCTGTCAAAGTTCCTCATTATGTCACTAACCTCATTACCTACAATGACCCCAACACTCCTTCCATCACACTCTGATCCGTTCTCTCTTCCTAAAGGTCCAAAGCTCTAGATCTATCCTAACCCTTCAGCCCAAGCTCTACAATCCCGAAAGCCCTCCATCCAATAGCTTTTAGACCTCCTCCCCCCTTAATTCCTCATATTAAGTGCCAGACAGGTTTCTCTTAACCTGTTTCCTCTGGGTTCAGTTATGGCCATAGTGCCAGTGCTGAGACCGAGAGAAAAAATACCATGTACACAGATATTTGTAATATGTACTGTTCTATGTATGGGCAATAAATAAATTAATTATATAAATAAAATGATCGTTTTTATAATTTCAAATTCATCTTATAACTGAATTTCTATATACAGTTAGCGTTAATGCTCCATTTCAATATTACTGTCAGGAATGATTTTTAACATACCCTTCTTCCAGCTTCATTGTTGTGTAAGTTCATCAATGCCTGTCCATGATCATGGCTCCCACGTCTGTACCTCTTCTCCCTTTCTCTTATGTCGATGAAACTCTGAGTAAACCTACACACAAATTGACTTTAATTAAGTATAAAAAAAGATGAGTATGGTATATATTCCTGGATGAAATTAAAACACCACTTTCTTGTTAAAATTGTTTTTCTTGTCTAGATCAATGAAAGATGTAGAAACCTGATCTGAGCTCAGCTGCCGATGACACTGCAGTACTATTTAGCAGATGACCAATGTTGACAATGTCTAGAGAATGACAGAGACTCAGAGCAACTGCCTTTAGTAGAAAAAGTCTATGTATCTAGGAAAACCATTGAACAATGAAGACCATATGGTTGAGAAGAATTCTAAGAAAATCAGGCAAGTGGTGTTTTTTTTTCCTTAAAACCAGGTGAGTTTTGTTTTATTGCATACTTATAACCGTATTCCAAGTTGTCTCCGCAACCACCCCAAATCCATTCGTGGTGCAAGTCCCTCGGACGTGGAGCTCGCGAACAACTGCAGGAGGCTAGGTGTCCATCTCTACAGCTTCGAGCAACAGAATGAGTGATCCCGGCTGCTGTTATCGCGTAAATAAACGCTGACTCTCGACTAGCTTATAAAGTAAATTGCAACAGTTAATACATAGCAATTTTTTTCAAAGTACAAAGGCTAGCTTTGATGTACCTGTATGTCTTTGGCTGCCAAAGAATGTGGAATCCGGCAGCGCTGAGCAATTCCATCTTCGGTATTTGAACTGATGTTGACACTCTGATATACCTTTTTTGGCACCGATTGTCACACGCTCCATATGGTCTGAATAAACCTGGCACAATCGGACTTGTCCGATTGATAAACCCTTGGTAACTTCACAACCGTTAACATCGTTAAAATTAGCTGGCTCGATATTTCTGAAAAAGCAAAAATAATAAATGGTTTTAAATTTAAACATTCGCAGAGAAAAACAACATGCAAAAATTCAAATGCATATATGATTTATCATTACACTCCTTTCCTATGTCTATGACTTAAAACTTTGTGGCTAATCTAATCTATGTTGGAATGCTAACTAATTCTTCCCTATCTCTAAAACAACATCACCAAAAATAATTTTAACCATACATAACCTTACCAAAATCATCCCTAACCCCAGCATAACATGACCTAACCTAACTCAACCTTAACGTTAACCTAACATAACATACTACCTGTAACTATATGTAAAAGATCAGGGATAAGTAAGGTGGATATGAAAGAATGAAAAATACTCAATTTATTTGTATTTATTCTAACCTAACTCAACCTTAACCCTAACCTAACATGATTTAACCCTAAGTACAAATAAAATATCAGGGATCAGGTGAAACTGAAAGAAAGACAAAACACCCAGATCCTTTGACAACCCCGAGGGAATATACCCAAATTCTTCAGGACTTTAAACCGATTCCTATTGATATAAATGGTTAACAAATATAAACATGTGTCATGATCTGTTCTCGATTCAACAAGACGGGCCCAACTCTGAATCCTTTTTGTGAGAAACAGAGCCCCAGAGGTCTTGATCGAACCCGAATACAGCCGATCAGGTGCCTTTTAATAATAAATTTTAATTAAAGTTTGAAAACAATTTATTAATCACACAAGAAAATAACAATTAAAATCAATAAATTTCCTTTTAAATTTTAAACAAACAATTAAAACTTTTTTAAATTTAAATAAACAGTAATTTCCTGCAAAGCTTTTGCCAGACCATTTAGAACAAGGGTGGATATGTACTCACTATTTACAGTCAATCCGCAATGGACCGAAGCACTCTATTTTAGGGAATACAACACTTTTGAGGATCGCACACTTCTCTTGTCTATCATCTACCCGGAATAGGCTTGTTCACCTCTGCTCGACTGTCTCTTCCCTATTCTCTCTTTTTTTAACTCTAGGCCTAATCACGAAATCTAAATCATAACATTGTCACTTTGAAATGAATTGAAATGTGACACATGTAAAAAATACCCAAGAGTGAAAAATTCCTAGATATGGTTTGTTTCTCCTGTAAAACTCGCGCTTCGCGCTCTTGGTTTTTTTTTTTTTTTTTTTTTTGCACCACGGAAAAACATTAAATATGTAATGCAACTCGTCCCTAATCCTAAACCTAATACAACATAACCTAACCCTTCCTAGTACCTAACAAGGAATCCTGAATCCTAGCTAACCCAATCTAACCTAACCTAATTCGGCCCTAGTCCCTACACAACATAAATCTAACCTAACAGAACCTTACCTAATCTAAACCCTAACCCTAACCTAACTATATCTAAAAGATCACGTATAAGGCGAATTTGAAAGAAAGAAAAAAATCAGATCCTTTGACAACCTTTCGGGGAATATATACAATCCTTCAGGACTTAAAAATTGTTTCCAATGATCTGAACGGTTAGCACCTTGTTGTTTAACCCTATCTAACCTAACTCGTCCCTAACCCTACTACAACATAACCTAACTCACTTTTAACCCTAACCCAAACGTAAACCTAACAATAATATAAAATTCTACAATACAAAATTACTAAATTTGGCATTGCTCTGACGCAACTTTGGACCAGAAAGGGTTAAAATAGACCAGTCGGTACGAGATATAATAGTGGCGCCAAAAAAATAATTGTTGCCAATATACGTGATGAACTAGTGAAGGTAAAACACTGCGCCCGCCTTAAACTCATGGGATTTGCTAAACTTTAGGAAATTTGCTAAATTTGGTGTTGCCCAGAAGCTACGTTGGGCAAGAAAGCGTTAACAATAATTATTAATTCTAGTGAACCAGATTTCATATAATTAATTTAATAACGACCAACAATCAGATATGTAGTAATATTTTGTTTTAATTACTTAACTAATTATCTCATTCGGTCTTCCGTTCTTTTTAAAAACTCATTTTGTGCTTGATTAGGGTAAAAAATATTCTAGTACAACATTTTGAAGTTTAATGGCTGTGAGCTGTGGAATATTTTTCCGCATTACAAGGTTAACAAAATTCTATTGCATAATATAATAGTCAATCAATTATATTTGATTTGAAAAGCAGAGGGCACGAAGGAAGAAGAACGACTGCAGTGAACTGGTGAATTCCGTTATGAAAAATAAAAGGGGATAGGCCCTCCTCATTCCTTTCCGCCCGGGGCGAACAATAGAAATTTGGAACCGCATCAAATTGTGGCCTTCTGGCGGGTTTTGGCCCAAAGGACCGCAGGTGGATGTGAATAGTCGGGAACCAAATCGCTTTATTATCCGTAAAGGAGGAGGGTTTGTACAAATCTTTTGACACGTTCAATTTCAAAAAATACATCCATTAACTGTGGGAATACGTTGAAAACTCGCCTCCCCCATTGGAGATTAAATCTACTGATGAATACTGAAAACTATAGCCTCTGGAATGATGGGTATGATGATTATCCGAGGGAGGGAGCAAATGTACTTGGCCATATGAGTGCTGTCTTCCCATCATCTCACATTTTTACCGCAGTTTTTTATAATTTTTACCCCAATGCCATCATCCTCAGGTGCTTTATTAACACTCATACTTTCAAATACTTTATTTAAGGTGCTTCGGCAGCAGGGAACATTTTCGAGTGGCACCGGAAGAGCCTGAAGTTGGCCAACTACATCATTCACGGATCTAGTTGGACAATCTACTATTAACGGTAGAAATGGCTCGAAAGTCGTAGTGAAGATAACCGGGCATGTGTGGATCAGAGCGCTGCCTTGAGAAACTCTGCAAAGAGAAAGTAATTTGAGGAAGACGCCGACCCTTCAACAACTGGTCAGCTAGGTAACTGCGAAGAAATAGGTAGTAGGTGAAGGAAAGGATGTCCTTGAGTATTTTCGCCCGGGTGCCAAACGCGATCGAAAGCCTGGGTCACATCAAAAAATGGCCTCTAAATTGTCCCAACGCTCAAGTGTTGGGTTTCAGTCAGATGTCTGAGTGACAGCTTGGAAAACCTGCTGGTTGGGGATAAAGTTTTGGGAATTTAGGATTTCAAAGTTTCTTAAACTCGCATTGCGATCTTTCCGCGTCAACTGAGAACATCGAACAAAACTTAAAGGCTGCCAATTTCTCCGGTTCAGAACCATACCACCAAGGACAAAGTAGTCTGAGAATGACACCGGAAGGATTAGGTAACTGGTAACGGGAATCAAGGTGGAGTTGAGCCCAAGTAGAGCTACATGTCAGTTTTTCAATCCATTAAAAGTCGTGAGTAGCCGTCTGTAGGTCAGTCACGGAGTCTGTGTGTAATTTTCAACAGAGTCTTAAGCGAGTTATTAACCCTAATGTAAAACAAAGAACGCGATTTAAGAGGGAGATACGAGTTTAAAACGATCAAAATGCCCCTTCAGCTTACTGAATAGATGACTCCACCACAAAAGATATTTAAAAAAGAAAGGGGGTACCCGGGGAGTGAGTGAATAAACAGCAGGCGAAATAATATAATAAACGCCCATATGGATTATTCGAGCACACGGCAACCCTATTCTACGCCTCGTGTTCATTGTGAACAAGACGTAAAAAGTAGTATGACGTCAAAGAGGCATTTGACATAGTGGTTTTCGGGTAGTTGAACGTTAATCCCACCTGTATGACAGGAATTACTTTTTACAACTAACAAGGAGAATCACCTACCCCGAGTGATGTCAGTCCGGGGTCTCGTCCGTCCGCCAACGAGCCTGGGCTCCATCAAAAGCTAGATCATTTCAGCCCAACGCAATCTTTTCTAGAACCAAAATCCACTCATTCTTAAAATACAGTCTTTACTCTTTACTATTTACAAGCCATTCACTCATAATCAGGGTGGAGTACTTGATGTTCTACCACCAGCTCTTTCCCACTGTCACGTACCACATTCTCGCTAATAAATACATTCAGTATCCACATACGCAATGAAACACAACTCGAGACATCCATAAAGTATTATATACAGTAAAACAATCGTAACAGGGGATCTAGGTACTCGCTGCCATGCTCGCAATAGCATGTCATTCCGACACACTCTCTATACGGAGCCAAGGAATGGCACCCTTCAATTAGCCCTTTCATGTCCACATTTGCTTCAGAGCAACACTAACTTTAGCAATTTTGTTAAACGTTAAAGGGAAATCCTGTAACTCTAGGAGGGTTGGAATTTTTCTGCCCCTCTATTGGCAACACTGATTACTCTAGCGCCAATCTAAAATATTCGTCTTAGAATCTTCACTATCCAACATTTTCACCACCACTGCATCTTGTGCATCATTGTTATTTCTGTCAAGCAGTCAAGCAGATTGCTCAAATCCAGTTTGTAAATTAACCCTTTCTGCTCAGAGTAACACAAACTTGAGCAGTTTTTTCAAGGTTTGCGGGAAATCCCGGTCTGGCGCAGTGTTGCCCCTACAATTTTTTGCGTGTAATGGCAACACCGAATTTTTAGGCATCATCCAAATCGCCATCTTGTTACATTCTATACAAATTGCTTTTAATCTTTTGGCAACACTGATTTATTTGGCGCCAATCTAAAATCTCCATCGAATATTCAATCATGGCTCTTCATCACCGTCGTATCTAGTACGGATTGTTAGAGTATTTCAGTATTGGTCGTGCTAAATTGGTGGTGAAGAACCATGTTGGAAGTTGATGATTCTATGACGGAGATTTTCGTTTCGACACGTACGGGTCTAAAAATGGCCGTGTGCCAACCAAGCACGGCATATTCTTAATCGGTATTGATGACCTCTCTGCTACGAGTCAGAACCTCCGACGGTCGCCTATCCACGGTGCTTTTGATACGTGAGAGCTTCTCTGCCGTCCGGCCCACAGCACTGCTGCGTTTTTAAATCATGCTTTTTATTGAATTTTTAGCGTCAGAGGGCCGGATCGTGCAAAGATT